CAGACAACTGTGTGTGGCAGGAAATGTTCTTGAGCAAGCAATAATGGTGATAAAGATATACCATCGGTGTTGTTGAATCCAGACTTTTAACATTCAGCCTGTTCCCTCCGCTGGCGTGTGCTTCGGGATTATCACCCGTTCGACGCCTACGTTTTTCGCTTCAGTCGCCTCAGAAGAAAATGCCATAGTTTCGTAATCACATCCTAGTCGTGCGGTGCGAAAAGTATACTTAACATTGCTTAACTCTCAACTGAATTTAAAGCAGTTTGTGTTATTTTTTGTTAAATTTATATTGTCAGAATTAACACCTATCATTTTTCCAGCTTAACAGATGATTCTATGTTTTTCTACATAGAAAATACACTTACTTTTAAAAGCATGTTTAAAAATAAAGAATTGGGAAACTCTCTGTGCATTGCTAGATAATCACTGGAGATTATAGGAACTGATATAGTTGTCTCATTAATCGAAGCAGAGCAAGCACCAGAGAAACATTTTACGCAGGAGTGAAGTGGATATCTGATAAATTTCTCATAGTCATGCTATATAACCAAATAAATACATACACATATTAGTATAAGAGAAAGTTATGTAATGCTGAGGAAAAACTGTGACGAGATTTTAAAAGAAAATAAAAATTTTTAAGTTCCCTAATACCGAAAAAATCCACCCAGACTGATACGTGTACCGAGGTACACGATGTTCAAATATGTAAGGGGTACAAAACAGATAGGATGAAGTCATGTTCGAGGAGCGCGAAGGTGCCTTTCACTGCTAATGTCCCCAGAGAAGTAGTAGGGGCTACGAGAGACCCTGGTAAGTCTTTTAGACGCAAGACAAGGTCTGTAGAGCTTCTAGTTTTATTATCGTAAAAGCAGGGTATCATCACCGGATTTGTTGAAGGATGGTCCTGGTATATTTGGTAGATAAAAGAAGAAATTGTGAGTCGTGAATAATTGATCGTTTATCAAATTTAGACAGAAATCGAATTTAGAGGTTCCATTTTTGATAAGCTAGGCGGATTTGATTGTAATATGAAGGATTCTGTTTTGAAAAATGTCGATTTTCTTTATGCGAGATGTTGAATGACATAATGGAGAAGTGGGCAATTCATTTATAAAGGAACTACTTTTTCCCTGCCTAATATGGATTTGGCGATTTATAATAGGGCGAAGTTGATACAATTTGTGATTGGCTTGCTTAACTTTTGTTTTATGTGGCCTTTGCAAGTCTCTTTTGAAGACCTTATTATCTGACATATGAAGTGAACAGAGACCAAGGAAAGGGGAAGTAGTGGAGGATGTGGACGAGATGAATGACGGAAAGTGAAAATGTTTGAACATAATTATCAATTTAGTTGCCAATTTTTCGATTTGGTGTGAGTGCATTCAAGCCGGTAAGCTAGTGTTTATGATCGGATACAGTAAGAAATAAAAAAATATCATCTACAAATTAAGCGCTGTTTACATCGATTTTAAACCATGTCGGCGGTAAGAGGAAAAAACGAGAGCCTTGGGGAACGCCAACTAAAAAGGAATGAGTATTACAAAAGTGTGTATCAATATTTACTGAGAATGAACGATGTCATACGAAACTACTACGTATAAATGGTTGAACCGGTATGTAATTAATTATATTCGTTATAAAGGCAACAACGCTTCAATAACAAATTATTTTGGCACACGAGGAGATACTGTATCGCGACTTGGAGTTTGTTTATCAAGTTATGTTTTTAAATATTGTATATTTCAGTGAGAGACATCAGCTAGGAACAACAAGCAATCAGAGGTTTCGCAAAGAAATAGGAAAATTAAAAAAACACCTCCTAAGGGAACCAATTTTCCTGAGGTAAATTATTTATTGACTATTTGTATTGAGAAGAACGCATTCATGTTTTCCCCTCCTGAAATGACCCAGACTGATTCGTGTATTCAGTATCTATGGTTCACTTAATATTACGGAAATGAGAAGAACCTTAGTGAATACTCGACGTATTTCTCATTATTCTTTTCACTAATAAATATTTCATAATAAAATCAAAACGTACCTTTTATCGGATATATTAGATCGTCCTTATTTCAATATTCCAAAAGGACTATGACGTTCAGAATATAAGTTTCAGTCCAAATAATACCCTGACGCTTCCCAGAAAAGAGAAAACTGTAGAAGAAAGTGATGTCTTCACCTTCGTACGTCGCTATAAAGCCGGGCGCTTTCTTCATCCCAGCACGCCTCCGCGCAGGCCACCCCGCCGCGCTACGTGGTGTCTCCCGCGCCCAGAAACTAGCGAGAAAAGTCGCCTCAAAAGTCAAACTTGTTTCATGAGCGAAGTTGGGCGGGGCGGCCTGCGGGGGCGCGCACGCCGGGTTTCAGGGGGGCGGCGAGGGCCACGGCGGGGGAGGGGCGGGGGCCAAAGGTCGACGGAAGCGGGGGAGGGGAAGGCGAGGAGGGGGTTGACACCAGGCGACCGGTCGCTTCCGCCGCGAAGGGATGGCGTGCCTCTTTCAAAGCCTTGCCACGTCTACGAGAATTGGGATACATCCACATACCATGCTTCCACATGGAAGTCGCGTACGCCCGCCGCCGTCCCACCCGCACGTCGGCCCCCCCGCACACCAGCCCGCGCCCCTGCCCGGCGGCGCTACCTTCAAAGTCAACTTCTTACTCACTCCGCGCCCTACCCTTTGCAGGCTGAGGCGGACGCGCGGGCGAGCAGGAGGACAGGAGGAGGGAGGGTGGGGCGGCGGCCGGTGCGGAAAGGAAGGCGGACGGGAGGGGGAGGGGGGGGCGAACGTGGGGGGGCATGAGAAGGCGGAGCGCCGCCGCCAGCGCCAGCCCTCCTTTTGCGCCTCCGACGAAGACGAGCCGCTCTTGGCCCCACGGCCCCTTCGGTTCATGGCGCCTTTTCTGGTGGTCATCTCGAGCGGCTTTGACCACATCTCTCCTGCGTTGAAATAATACATTTTTGTCTTTTATAATGCCGGGAGCCTTCTTTGGCTGTACATTAATGGACTTAAAAATGCGAAGTTCTTTTCCTACATCATTTACATATCAATCTACTCTCTTATTACAATTTTTCTAGCAAACCAAGTTTCACAAGAAATGAAAGAGGTAAACATAAATAACAAAAACATTGCATTTCTTTTTGCCATATTAGGTGTAGAATGATTCAGTTTACAGATACTTATCATTGTATTTTATCTTAATTATTAATTTGTCTTCCTTCATCATTTCTATTTCTCCTCCTTTTTTTACTTCATTGTGTCCTCCTTTTTTGCCTCCTTCATATTCCCTTTCGTCCTTCTTTACTTCTATTTCCTCCTCCTAATTTTGTTTCCTTCTCCTTTCTGCTTCTTCTCCTCCTTTATATCTTGCACCACCGAAAAAGACGAGACGCTCTTGACCTAAGAGCCCCTTCGATTAATGGCGTCTTTTCTGAAGGTCATCTAGAGCGACTTTGACTACCAACGCCTCTCTTGGATTGAAAGTTTGTATTTTTGCTTTTTATAATGTCTCCTGCCTTTTGTGGCTGAGAATTAATGGACTTACATATGCAAAGTTACTTTCCCACATCATTTACCCCACAGTCTATTTACTTTACTTTAGTTTCACCATCTCTCAAAACGAAAGAAAAAACATTAACATTAATTACAATACATTCATTTTTACCTCGTTAGGGATATTACAATACATTCTACATTTGCCAATTGTTTTCCCTTCATCATTCTGTTGTCTGGCTCCATTATCTCTTCTTCCTCCAGTTTTATCTTCTTCTTTTCCCCTTTTTCGTCTTCTACGTTTTCTATTTTTCCCTTCCTTTTCCGCACCTGTTCCTCCGCTCCTAATTTTCCTTCGTTATTCTTCTTTCTGCTTCTCCTCCTTAGCTCCATCCTTTATTTTCTTACATCATTTTCTTTTTCTTCCCCATTAGAACTATCTACTTTCTTCTATTTCCAAAGCTTCACTTCCTCCTTCATTTTTTGGTATCCCTCCCTTTGGCCCTTGTCTACTTTTCAATCATCTTTCGCCCTTGCGTAGGAAAGGAATAATGTATGATGGAGTAATGATGAACTGCTGCGCTCTCTTTTTGTCCATCACAATTTCCTCTTCAATTGGAAATCAAACTCTGGCCTCAGGTAGAAGGGCGAAAAAAATGGCCGGTACACCATGCGGTGTTTCTATTTGAACAAAAGCCAAATGACAAAAACATTCTATAATTACTATTTTCTTGATTAATTTAATTATTTTTACTATAACTTGATTCTACTTCTTCACGACCATTGTATTTATCCCTCTCCATCCTTACTCTCTTACATTTCTTCTGTTACCATTTAATACAAAGTTATCTCCCTGTATCACTTTACTCCCTTTGGTCACCTTCCTCTTCTTTTTTCGAAAGTCTCTGTTGCTTTTCTTGCAATTGTAAATATTTTTCAATTATATGTCATTTCACTCAACAATTATTTCTATGAATCACTCATCTTTCCTGACTCATCAAGTAAACAACAAACATAACGCAATAGTTCTTCGCGTTTTCGTTGTCCTTCCTTACAGCAAGAATCCAATCATCACCCCGTCCAACTCTATCCCACCCCGTACAACTCTATCCCACCCCGTACAACTCTATCCCAACCCGTACAACTCTATCCCAACCCGTACAACTCTATCCCAACCCGTACAACTCCATTCTAACACATATCATCACACTTCATTCTATCCATTCGCATCCCTCTACATTCTATCCTACCTTACCCATTTCAGTCAATTCCATCTCATTCCATCTCACTCCGTCCTATCCAACCCCATCCAATCGCACCCCATCCCACCCACGTCTCTGCCAGCGACATGTCCGTCTCTGCCGCCGACACCACTCAACATGCGCGACTTGAAATGCGCAGGCCTCCGCATCTGCATTTTTCAATTTATCGGGGAGGTGTTGGAGTGTAATGACTGGGGGCGCGCAGACGAGCCCCCGCGAGTCAGCCACTTCTTAGAGGCTCTCAGCCTTCTGGCGGCAGCGCCGTCGGTGGAACATCAGGGACAACGGCAGAGGGTGGGGGATCTGACGGCAGAGCGGAGGTCGGCGCCTTTTCCTTGTGTGCGTGCTCCGGCCCGGCGCGGCCCGGCCCGGCCCCACCCTGCCTCACCCTTCTGGCATCTTCGGCCCCGCAGCGCTCGCCGTCTTCCTCCCAGACGCCCTGCGCCCCGCCCTTCAGGGACCGCGGGGCCTCTTCTACAAAACGAAAGGAAATAAAATAAACATGGGCGGTGAATAGGGTTGCAAGCCATGCATATTTTGTCAGAGATGTCAATATTCGCGTGAGGGCGGTTTGTTTGCGGCGAGGCCCCCCCTCCCCTCCCCCACGCCGCCCTCGCCACCGCCTTCGTCGTCCCCACACACTTGAGGCTCGCCGGTCGCTGACTCAAAGAGCATGCAGACATCCCCGCCCCACTTCTCCTCTCTGATACTTGTCTGCTGCATGGTAGTTCATTTTGACGAAGCAAGAATTGCAATATACATTTTCCGCCATTTCGCCATAAATATTTATTATGTGTACCTTTCCGATGATGGTGAGTGTTACTTCCTTTGGGTATAAATGAATTATTATGAACTTCATTTTCATTATATCGTAGTTTTTTACATTTACTGAATACAATTTTACAATCATACAATTTTACTCATCTTATTTTTAACATTTATTTTTTTTCATTCGTCAATTAGCTCTCCAACTTCTTTCTTTCCCCTGACAATATATTTTAGAAGATAAGAAAATGCGGTTCATATAAACATCTATGCTACAAAACCAAAAAACACTACTTTTTCTTGAATTCTTTGCGAATATCATAGTCTGAGGAAATGGCAAAGAATTTTGGGCCAAACGACTTGTCTTGAGACAAATCGAATGAAAAATTGATTACCTCCGTAGGTGCTCTCAGCCTCACAAAATTTGTTTTAGTTATATAAGATACACAACAACACGTATTTGAATAAAATGTATTCGCAATTAATTCGCAAAAAAGTTAGTCCCCTCGAAACTACTCAATTGATAATATACAAATTTCAATTTAATTACGTTTATTGCTCTTAAATATGTTTTAGTAGCGACGCCTATTAGTTTAAATGTGGACAGAACGTTTTTTAAATATTATGAGAAATTGCGATGGAAATTCAGACTCTATAATTAAATGTTGGAGTTGTTTAAAGTGACAATGTGTCTCATGTATTTCAAATAAATCTGTAATAATACTAGGTGAACCCGCGCAATTAAACACATCGTACAAACAGAAAGAGTATTAAAAAGGTTGCATCACAAAATTTTAAATGTATAAGCTGTACACAGAAACTCGTTATCCTCAAAAACATATTTCATGTCGATCAGTACTTATTCTCCGAGACTAATGATATGAACGGATTACCCATTAAGGAACAATATAATAACTATTCACACATAGATAAACATGTTTCTGAACAATATAACTGAATTGTTATATATTTACAAAATTCTGAATAGGTGTCAACTACATTGCTGAAGTATTGTCTGATGCAGGAATTCCTGCCATGCACATTAACAAACACGTAGTTGATTTTTGTTGAAGGAGCGCATGTGTCAGACTATTGTTTGATATGAAGAATATACACGTCCAAAGCAAATAAAAACGTACGAGCTCGCTATCTTCGCTTCACTCTCTTCACACTGCGTACGAAACAAAGACAGTTTTTGACAGATGGTTTGCAAACCTTGCCTCAAAACAAATCAAGACCAAATTGGTCTTATCAACTAGAGTTGGGGTGGGGATGGCATAGAGGAGGGGGAGGAGGGGGAAGGCGAGGAGGGCTTGGAGGTCTTAGTAAGCTTCGACGGCTGGGAGGGATTTGGCGGGATAGGCAAGATAGGTTGTGGCTAGGAAGGTTTGGCGGGATTGGAGAGCATAACGGGCTTCGAAGGCTTGGAGAGCTGCGAGGTGGGCGGGGTGGGCGGTGTGGGCGAGATGGGTGGAGTGTCAGAATGGCGGGGTGAGCATTTCTGATATTCTAAAAAGAACGAGTTGATGCTCTTCACATCCATATTCATAGTGTGGATGCTGCGAAATATTGCTTAGATGATTGGGAGAGCATTTGCAGAAATTGCACCAAGAAAGCCCTGCCCATTTTGTGTTCTCATCATAAGATATTCTGAAAAGATGACACGCCTTCGATTAGCACCTCGGCGTTATAATCATTAAGTGTTGAAGAACTTGTCAGTATTACCTAGTTCTGGCGAACGGCACTCATTCTCCTAACCGCTTGTAGTTATAGTGCGTTTCGCACGCATGATGATCGCACGTAAAACTCTGTGGAAACGTAATGCCAACTTGACGTAATAATACAACCGAAAATCTAATTTTTGATGCAACCAAAATGCGTGTTACTACACTTTTTTTCACGAGCGAAACTGGCTGCCACGACACTGCTCGGCTCCTCTGATTTTGAAACAATAGGCCGAGGGCGTGTAATTGGAAAAGCATTTGATTCCGGGAATTTGTCAACCAAGCACAGGTTGCACGTCTCGGTGTCCAGAAGCAGGCTCGATCTCTCGGTCACTTTTCCAAGCCCTTCAAAGTTTGTTTCAAAGAGTTCCATACAAAATGAATTCTTGCTTCTTGTGAGAGAGAGTTCGCGGGTTTTAGAGGCAAATTAAAACTGTCGCGATGGCTCGACATTTTAAATGTGTGTTCTTTTTTTCTTAAATAACCTCAAAGAATTGTCAAAATGCTTGAGTTCCAAATATGGCGCCAAATTAGAATTCATTTTGCCGCCTATGCGAAACACATAGTACAATCGTACACATGGTGTACGAATTTCACCGCAAGAGGATTCCATCAACTGACGGCCATTTATGCGTGAATCGCGCGGGACTCTTTGCGAAAGTTACCACGCCATACAGAGTAAACATATCACTCTCAATAAACCAAGCATGAAATAAAATTGTGCCGACTAGAAACACTTAAACTTGCACAAACAGAAAAGTGTATCAAATAGTAACGCGATGAAAATAGGGCGAGGCAGGGATTATCTTCGCAACGATTGACGAGAGGAGACAGTATGGAATATTGGACGTTTATTTCGTTTTAAATTCATCGATGAAGATCCCGTACGCGCGCGAGGATTCAAAGTAAGCAAAAGCGACATTTTCGTTGATTATAAAAGAATGAAAATGGTCAGTATTAACTTTGATAAATGAGCTCATAATGTAATATGTTACCGATATAGCTGTGAATAAACATTATTTGGACATGAGAAACATGGAAACATTATTTATTTATTTGAAAGAAGACTGATTGTTTATATAAGCTTTAAATTTACCAATGATTTCTTTAGCTAAACAAAATTTTCAGAAACAGTTGGTGCGTATGCTCATCTGCATATGACGACGTAAGAAACGATCTGTCGCGTGTTGATACCCCTACGTCGAAATATTTTGAAAGTAAATGTTATTGAGATTTTTCTGCAATATCATCATTATAATATTAAGAGGAAACTGTTTGTTTGGTAAATAAATAAGCGAGCAGAGCAGGGTAATTGAAGATATAGAAAGGCCATTCCTTTACAGAAAGTAACTACCATATAAATGTTGGTATTGATATTTATAATTCCAATATGGTAGCGGATTAAACAAATACCTTTTAAGATCGATTACAAATGTCATGCCAATTGTGGACAGATTAAATTAACAATATTTATGCGATAATTTAATATCAATTACATTACGTTATCGTCTACATGCATATTTTGAGCCTTGGATCGAAAATATAAGAGCAGAGGCGTTGGTGCGGACCATCTTCTGTGGCGCTGTTTGATTTCAGGTGCTGAGGAGGCCAAGCACTGGAAGGAGACGGCGGGACGCCCGCGCCAGAAAATAAATAGTTAAAATAAACGTCGGATACATTAGTATGTATTCGGCTTCTGACAGCAGGTTTTCCCCCTTCAGGGGATTTTTCCTGAGTCGTACGTTATGGTCTCTTTTCCGCGGCTTTGATGCGATGGAGAGACCATTTGGGGTTAATACCAGAATTCGAAAGATTAGAACGCGAAAGGATGTAGGTATTGCAATGGCTTAAAGGCCTCCGGCCTAGCCACATAGGATCAAGTAAGCTAATTTGTTTGTAATAATTAGCTATTAAATAAATAAAAATTTTGAGCCTTTCCTCATTTATTATTTAGTATATTTACACTGATCACATGGAAGAATGATTCAAAATCTAAAAGTAATATGTTAACTGTTGTTATCGTTCTAAAAATAAGAGGTCTTTGCATTCGTTTTTTGTTTTGTTTTGTTATTAAGATTTTGTTATTAAGTGGTCGCCATACATGTCAACATATAGCTCATTAGCGACCACTATTGGATTGAACATTATGATAACTGAATATGACATGATATGGTGATGATATGAGGTGAAAGGACAAAAAATATGTGGCATGCAAATTATCTGCATAGTGCATTTTTCATTACCTGACATCAGCTATGATGAGAATGCATGAGTTGAGATGATGCATTCCAGTCTCAGCTGCAACAAAATAACACATCGAATTAGATACGTATATATGTAGAAAACCTGATTTTCATTATTTGCTTATTTTATATAAAATAAATTTATCACATTTACTTCTGTAGACATATTTTCCGTAGACAGTTTTACATTGACGTTCCATTTTTTTTCTACACAGTGCAAATGTGTCAAATGAACAAAAACTAGCATTTATCTACGAGTTTTTTTGTAATTTAATATCACATCAACATCTAGGTCATTAGCGACCCGTATTTCATTAAACGGTATGGTAACTGTGAAAATGACTTGATACGATGATGATATAGGGCGTAAGGAAGAAAACAAATATAAACATGCTACAAGCTGAACTCGAACTCGCGATTCTTCGGTCCGAGATCGCTACGGCACTACTACCTTAACGATCTCGGCTATCTACAAGTTTCATCTCACCTTTCAACTGACATTTGGTAATTTCTATTAATGTATTAATTAAAACTTGTTACAACCAAATAATCTATTTGTTTCAAACCCCACCACGCAAGTGGAGGGGCAGGCCAACGTCCAGGTACAGCCGGTAACCAATATCCCCAGTAAATAGCCGCGTCGCGCCTGATGCTTTCCGGGGCAACTGAGGACCTCCGAGGGGGAGAAATACGATGCGGAGGCGAGACAGAAAGCTGATACACAAACTGCGGCGGCTATCGCCGAAAGAGGAAGGGACGGCGGCGAGGGCATGCAGCATGCTTAAGCGATAGGGAATGTAGCCGGCGTGTTTGTCTGTCATGTGATCCCTGCTCAAACACAAGCTAATCCGGGAGTGGACCTTCGGGTCACACTCGCCCCTTCTCCGCCCGCCCGCCTTTGCCTCGCCGCCCGCCCCGCCCCGCCCCGCCCCGCCCCGCCCGCCCCGCCCGGGAAAGAAACGTCACCCACAAAAAAATAACTCCGGCGATCCGTTACGGAGATAGCCCGTGAAGAATAAATTTATTTCGGAATTAAGCTATCGTCAACGTGTTAAGTTGACATTTATAGGTCGCGGTCTTATCGTTCCCTGGCGCGCGCTCCCGTGCTGCAATTGATTACTACGCTTTTGTGACAAAGAGCTGGCGGTTGCGGCGATGGAGAACGAGCGAGTTGGAGGCGATGACTTTGGAGAGGAGACGACGGTAGGAGAAACGTTGAAATGCAGCAACCGCAGAAGAGAAATGAAACACTTAAATAACTCGAAGTAATGGAGGAATAGTGAGCTGGAGAAAAGGGGAAGAGACAGAAGTAATGAAGGAAGAGCAAAAAAGTGTTACTGCACATCAAGAAGACAATAAATGATATGAAGTGGAGAAAATGCAAGCAAAATTTATGTATGTGATCAATGGAGAAAGCCTGTGACAAATATTGCGAAAACTACAAGCTTTACCTAATACCGTAAATAATATGCTATTAACATTATTGCAATTTAAATCCAGGTGTATTTGTTTGTAAAGTGGTAATAGACAATGCTTTGGAAAGAAAATTCAAGACTTCGCGAATACCGGTAAGGAAGAACAAGAGAGAAATGGAATAGGATTCAAAGCTCGGACAAAACTTAAGTCATGTTAGAGAGGGGTAAAAATCTGGTGAAGTGCAATGAAAGTCACTAACACTATGACTGTAGTTGCGTCTGAGTAGCGCAAGAGAAGAAAGCGATATGTATAATTTTTTTCCTGGGAAGTAAACTCGAGCATTTATACTTGGGAACTTAGAACATTAGCAATAATCAATTCAGGGATTCAATTAACAACGCTGAAATAGAATAGAACGTAATGCAATTGTGTGGAATGACAGTTTTCATGACAATGGGGATGACGTTGGTAGTTCTATTTATTCCCTAGTGAAAGATGACTTTGCAATCCTGACTTGCGACAGTTGTTAATCAATCGCTATTCATTGGCTCCATTAAAGGGTTCTATACTCCATCAAACACCGCTCGCGCAAGTCCGACTCTAACATCGGGTAGTACAGCGGCAGCAACACATATATACGCCCGGCGCAAGCCAGGTTTGCAAGTGGCGCTTGACGGCGTATGGGGCCGCATAAAACCCGTGAGTAGGCGACGCAGCGTCGGAAAGGCGACGAGTCGACTGCGAGGCGCGGGCACTAAAGTGGGCGAAGAGAGAAGTG